CCTCCTTCTCCATCAGCTTCTCCCTTCTCCCCCTCATCCTTCATCATAGAATAATTGGCTACATCATTAGACATACAAGGCCTATATAGCTTATTACGTGGTGCAACACTGAGATGAGTTGGCGCACGTCTCAGGCGAGAATAATTGGCTACATCATTAGACAAATTAAGGCCTTTATAGTTTATACTGTGGTGCAACACTGGGAAGAGTCGGCGCTCGTCTCAGCCGAGAATAATTAAATTGGCTACAAACTTTTTGTATTTTAGACGAGAACTATATTATTTCATGTTGTGGTGCAACGCTGAGATGAGTTGGCGCACGTCTCAGCCGAGAATAATTGGCTACATCATTAGACAAGGCCTTTATAGCTTATGCTGTGGTGCAACACTGGGAAGAGTCGGCGCTCGTCTCAGCCGAGAATAATTAAATTGGCCATGGCCAGTCGTAAGAATTATTTATGGACTATTCTTACGACATGCAACGCGCATACGCATAATAGTTCATAGTAATGTAATATGCTAGTTTTGGAAGTCTCCTACGCCTACTCCCTAACCCCAACTCGAACCCTAAACCCTCACACTAACCCCAACCCTAACCATAACACTAATTATAAACCGACTCGATTTCCTTATATGCGTATTATATCTTACAATAACAATCTATGCCTATGGTGTATAACCACATACGCAACGCATGCACATGCGCGTTGCATGTCGTAAGAATAGCCACTTCCAATTAAATTGGCTCCAAAATTCATCATGATTATTTATAGGCCACAAATTTTATGTTTTAAGTAATACATGCGCGCGCGCGTACATGCAGTGACGTCAGTACATGCAGTGCGACGTCAGTACATGCAGGCCTACCCGTTCGACACCTTCGCTCCGTCAAGCCTTCGCTACACTGAAGTCGGTGTAACGCGAGTGGAACTGTCGGCCGGGTACCGGTCTAACGGCCGCCGTGCATATAGGAGGCATACACGGCCAGCCTCCGCATGATGGTTAAGCCATGCATGGTCGTGTAATGTTGATTGTTGTTTCTTACGTTGCTGTTCACATTACAACTACTGTAACAGGTCTTGGGCATACTAATAAGTAATAGATATGCTATAATAGTATACTAGTATTAGTATATTTACTATTTAGTTAGCCACAAGTTCCCTTCTCGCTTTACACTGTGTTGGAGATAAGTCAAAGCAGAACTACAGTAGTAGACAGTAGTAGAACAGTAATAGCATGGGCGGGCTAATATATTTATAATGTTTGATGATAGCCGATGAGCCAAGATGTTGATGACTAACAATGCTGATTGAGTAATGACTGTTTACTTTAGTTCTGTTTAATAATGTTTATTTAGCCATGATTTCTCTACATGTTCCTCTACACATAATCCTCTGCGGTATAAACTATGGTATAAACATTATCTGGTACATATCCGGGTATACATGATACTAGATACAATAATGTAACCCAAACACAGGATAGGTGTTTGGGTTACATTATCCTGTGTTTGGGTTACATTATTGTATCTAACATGATACATGATATACATGATGATCACTGAATAGTCTAAAGGTCAAGACACACTGCAGCGACAGCGACGGAGCGTAACATCTAACGACATTTCAAAAAATTTGAAACTATTAACACACACGCGACAACGACCAGAGACAACCGTAACAACAAAAATATTTAGAAACGTTTCTAAAGCCTAGGACAGACTGTGCGATTTTCTACGCTAGCCGCTTGCGATCCGCCGATCGATAAATACGGTGCCGGGTCGAAAAACCGGGCGGAAATATTCAACATGTTGAATACGAGCGATGCGCCGGGCGTATGGGATTGCGAGCGAAATACGCTGCCGTGAGACCGGACACACCGCGCGGACCCGGCACCGTATTTATCGATCACAAGTGGTCAGCGTAGAAAATCGCGCAGTGTGTCCTAGGCTTAAAGCTGTGGAGCTATCCAGTTTACCAGTTATTAAGTATTACCAGTTATTAATTATCCAGTTATTCTAGTTTACCTTCCAGATAACCACAAGACCACACACATAAATGTCCAGTGTATGTATCTAACTAACTGTCATATACCACACCTGAGTATGTTATTCACACACAATCAATGTCAACAGTTATTGATAAAGTATTTCTTTATCCATTTGAAATATTATCTGTCAAAATGAAAATATTTCCACCTGTAAATATCTCAAACAAAAATAGCTCTGAATAATAAATTTCCTTCTGAAACATTCATGTTAAAATAATGGCATATATATCGATACACTCTGTGTATTGTTTGAAATTATACACATTGACTCTCAGTACATTGGTCACATTTCCATTCGTTGCTTAGATGCCTATCCAAGAATAGTTTCTTGTCAATGTGCAAACAGGTCTGGTGGAACCACTCTTTGCAAGCACCAGTGCACTGCATCATACGCTCTTCCTTGTTGTCTGGTAGTCTACATAAACAGTACACAGGAATTTCAACAATTTTCGAGTTTTCTGATCTGCACTGGAAAAGCACTGGGAATGGAGACATTTTCCCCTGCTAGAGGCAGTCAATGAAATGTTCACGCATTTTCTTTTGATCATATCTATTGCAGGCAGGGTCTTGACCATAACAAATGGCAGTTGCAGATGCAATTGCGAATAAACCGCAATCTATTCCACCATTCTGTCGCTGCACTTTTTTTACATGAACATTTATAACCGGCTGCCTAGACATAATGATAGATGCTATTTGCATCTGTTCATTTATCGGTACAGAGGTATAAAGTGAATCATACACGGCAACACTTTCTTTATTGTTGGGGAACACATTTGACACAGTGATCCAGTGTATGGCTCCATCGTGTAAAATTTGCACAAATTCAGAACTTGCTACATCAAATTGTAGCTTACTTCCAAGAATAGTGTCCTGTAGTCCAGCTACCAAAGGAAATTTGCTCCTCAGAAGTTTCATGGCTGCAGTCATGTGTTTATCATTGAGCATACCCCCACTTCTTACGTCCGACAGAAGATCATCATCTGCAACAAAGTTGACTTCCAGTTTCTCCAAAGTCCTTTTGCTCCGCATCATCTTCCTTTTTCTTGACTGGAAAAGGTTTCCTTTAGATGGCTTCTTCTGTCGAACGTTGCCCGTTATAGGTGGGGTTTTTGGTAGGTTGAACTCATCAATAGACTTCAACACAAGAGAAGCATTTCCAGTTATGCATTTTGATCTAGACTGATCTCCAAGGACTGTTGTTTCATCCACTGATATTGCAGTTGCTGAAATGGAGTCCACCGCTACAATTTCAGACCCTACAGGTAGAGCTTCTGTTTCTATTGGTGGAGCTATAATCGTGTATTCTTCTTCTTCAACACTGGAGGAAGTTGATGGAGTGCTAGGAGAAGGTACAGGATTGACAACACTATACTCGCCATCTGATACATCCTCTTTGTCGTCAATCTCTGAGGAGGTATCCAACTGCAGTACCCTTCGTGTTTTCACATGCCTGACAAATTCTGGAGAGGACTTCGGGGATGGCATAGTTTTACGTACCTCCTCTGTTACTGCAAAACTCTCCTTCACAACTACAGAGTTGCCAGTGGATTAATGCATGTCCGCTGCAATTGCAGCTACCACAGAAGACTGTACTTTTGAATCAACAGCTTGTTCATCACTTGTACATGTTTGGTTGGATGGCCCAGGATTTGATGTACATGACATTTCAGAATATGTGGAAACGGGTATGAGCTGCACTTTCTGACCATTTGTCCACATACTATGGAGCAAATTCAAAGTGTCAAACTTCTCTTTGAACTCTGGTGTGCCAAGTGTAGCAGCATAGTTAGCAACTGACTTGCAAAGAAACAGCATTTCCTTGTATTTCTCTTCTTTTGACTTGGAGACTGGTCTCGCTCGCTTTGAAACCTGAACTCCGGCTTCTGATTCCGTTTCCTGCTTCCGCTTGACACTGGGTCGTGGTGTCTTTGACTGATACGATAACAGCCATCTTTGTCCAACATCGGTCATTGCAAACAAAGGGCGACTAGAGTTGATCCTACCAGCAAATATGTGCCTACAGGGCAGCATCATCCTAGTTTGTAGAGTGAATCCACATTCACCGTCGACTTTATGTACAGCTGCATTTTTTCTCGCGATGGCGAGTTCTTCTAATACAATTCCAGATGCATATGGTGTCAGTAGCTTTGTGATGTTATCTACCTCCTTATCATTGTTGCCAAGACGATACTGTGTCTTAGCAGTCTGGCAGAATACCCTGTGGGTAGCCTGACAACTCTGTGACCTGTGCAGAAGCAGAACCCCCCTCATTGCTTCGGCGAGGCTCAGGTTTCTTGAAAGAACATCTTTCAGCTTTTGGTTATGCGATTCCACTCGGTTGTTTGTTGTGTTGCCTAGATTGCAGTGTCTATTAGTCAGGTAGGCTGCCCAATACTTTTTGTGCGATCCCCAGTTTTTTTCATAGTATTTTATCAGACTGTCTGGTGCAAGTTTTTCAAACTTTTCAAGATGAGTCTTGAAGGCTTTTTTCGTTTTGGCAAACACCAGTGATCTCATGGAAGCCGTCAGATTATCTCTAGTTCCCTGGTCAGTTGCGATTTTCTTTATCTCTCGTGTGATGGCCTGCAGCACATGAAACTTGCACAGCTGGACTGATGCTTGGGGCATGACTGTATGTACTGCAGCAATTTCATTGAGGTCTTTGTCTACAGTGACACACTGCACACGTGAGATTTCAACAATTTTGGAGAATTCTTGCAACATTGATTCAATTGTGAATTTCTTCTCATTGCATACAAATGCATATGCAGCAGCTCGACCCTTGCCATTACCATCCTCTACCATCATAGAACTAGAACTAGAACGGACAGATAGACAGATGGACGGACAGACAGACAGACAAGCTAATACCAGTATACCCCCTCCTAACTTTGCTTCGGGGGGGGGGGTATAAATACATGTGTACTGCTCAAAATCGATTTCCCTAAGTATGCTCTATGGAAGATAGAATGACCCAGCTATTGGCAGACATTGAGAAACTACAGAAAGAAAAAGCTGAATTACAATGGGCCAATGCCCCGTTCTCCATTGATACTATCAAGGACTCGGATATTCCATTTTATACTGGTTTTCCAAGTAGAGCAGTTTTTGATAAAGTTTTTGCTTATTTCAATCCTGATCCAAATGGAGAAAATTTGATCTTGAACTCGAGTGATTCAAAGGGTGTATCGGCGACAGGGACAAAAACTGGTCGGCCAAGGAAACCAACTCCCCAAAATCAGTTCTTTCTATTCTTGTGCCGTGTTCGAGTGGGACTTATGGAGCAATACTTAGCCAATCGATTTGGAGTGTCAGTGTCCACAGTTAGCAACCTGGTGATTTCCTGGGCCAACTATATTTATCTCAAGCTAGGTGTACTGAATATCTGGCCTTCAAAACAACAAATAAAGTCAAACATGCCATCATCTTTCAAGGAGAAATACCCATCAACTCGTATTATCATTGATTGTACTGAGATCAAGACGCAGATGTCGTCATCTCTGTTGTCAAAAAGTATGACATATTCAAACTACAAAAGTTCTAACACCTTGAAGGGTTTGATTGGTATTACACCTGGTGGATGTGTGAGTTTTGTCAGTCAGCTGTACACTGGCTGTATATCTGATCAGGAAATCACACGACGAAGTGGTCTGCTCAAGATGGATTTTGATGATGGTGATTCAATCATGGCCGACAAGGGTTTTGAGATACAAGATTTGTTAGATCAGATGCCTGTATGTGTAAAGCTGAACATTCCCCCAAAACTTGGTCTGTATGGACAGATGGCCCTGTTAGATGTACGAGACACTCAGAGTATTGCAGCAGAGCGCATCCATGTTGAGCGAGCCATCAACAAAATAAAAAATTTCCATATATTTGACCAAGTTATCCCAATTTCACTGAGCGGTTCAATCAACCAAATATGGACAACTTGTGCTGTGCTCACGTTGTTTCACAATCCTATCATTTCATGTCCAATTGCTGATTCTGTACTTAACTGACAGCCACATGGACTGAGGCATATACTCTATAAAAGAACACTGAGAGCATATAGCACAGACAGACACTCATTTACAGTTATAGATCTCACTTTTAATCTCATGTACTCTGCAAGTGTGAATTGTGAAATTGAAACGTGGGGACTTGGTAACATGACAATCAAATAAATTGCTAGTATTAAAGTGACAATTTCAAATTTGTCTAGATAAACATCCGATGCTTTTTTGCAGACAAAGTTTGATGTCCATCTTCTATATAAACAGTACATTACTGGTTTACTTGTGTTATAAAGTATCAATAAACATTGTTAATCTAAAAAAATTGTTAAGTTGTTAATTTCACAAATTGTTTCAGACTGCTTTAACATTCTATGGGTCTAGAATTTGTTTTATCCACTTGTCCCAGGACAAGTGACTTTCCATTATACACTTGTCCCACCTGAGTAGATCCTAATAAACATATGCAGTTCCGGTACTATCATAGTTATTTCAAAGGTTTTGTCGTGTTTGATGACTTTCGACATGATTATGAATAGTAAAATAATAAGTGGACAATAAGCGGAACACACAATAATCAAGTCATAACAATTTAATAGAGCACTGTGATTAAGTACTCACTTCTGTAAGATAAACAGAGCACTGACATGATACATGTATAAAACGATTGTTTTTCACTTGTCCACGGACATCTACAACACTGTTTAATAGTCACTTGTCCGACCCTCAAATTCCACCTGTCCCGGGCGTTAGGCGATCCAATTTGTAGACTCCTGCATTCCATCTATCATAACTGTTATGTAGCTCAGTGTCAACATTGTTATTAAAAGAACTGGGTCAGTTCTAAGTTTTTTGTATGTACATTGTATGACTGCATTTTAAAGATTCACTTTCAATACTGTCACATAGTACTGGTCGCAAAATGGCAGCAGTGATATTTCAACTATATGTATCACAGTTGACCTGAATAAACAGTCCCTTTGGCAAACAATGGATATTCGCAATTTATTCCAGTCTACCAACATCTTTGAGAACTGGCACAACGTACGTTTTATAAAACCTCAATACTTTGTCGGTCATGTCCTTGAAATACTCTGCATTGTACAGAATCCGGTGGATCAGTAGTCACTTTTTGGAATAGACAATGTAGTCACACCACCCAGCTCCACATATCCCCATTTGGCCCTGTATCTGTGCGTAGTGGGGACTTGACTTATTTAGGTTTGGTAGACCATCAAGAATTTGACAGGAAAAGTCTGGTGCCTTACAAGCTTGTGCAGGACTCACATTCTGGTACTTATAACTGCACTTGACTTCCAGTAAACCCAGTCCATGTTTAAAGTCAAATACTTTCCTATCAGGAGATGCTCCCATCCAGGGATATGCTGGGTTGACCACAACACCGGACTCAAACAAGCACACAGTTTGCCCAATGTTGGTCATGTACTGGCTGTAATGTCTAGCTGCTCGATCTTCACTATCTCGGCCATACCTAATAGCGGACACATTGCTAAGGTCTTTATTTTCTACATTTAACAGCTGTGTTCTTACAAACTTATCATTGTTTGTTGTTTTGCGGGATAGAACGCCGCCAAAGTTGCTTGCAGTTATTCTTGTGCCGCGAACCTCGTGCCATAGTGTGTTGGCACTCTGACCACGAGTGGACAGCTCAATCTTGTTGCACTCGGTCCTTGTCACTGTCAACTGACTCATAACGTCATCATCAAGATCATATGTTGCAGGTTCGGCAGCCGACCATGGCAGCTCTGGAATATTACTTGGAATCTCCCGTGAATCACTATCGGCTTCAGCCTGGCAAGAAAAATCATCAATAACATCAAAATCAGATTCTGTCACAGCTAGCTGATATGACAGTGGACTACCTTTGGGAACAGAGAATCCCATTCTTCTCATCACCATTTCCGTGGAATTTACATTATAGACCTGACAAAATCCCACTGCAGGAGTAATTTTCTGGAGGTCTCCCTTCAAAGTTTCTCCATCAGAGACACAGTCCAACTTTGCGGCAGGTGCCCTGCCTCGTACAATGTTGGCCTAATGCCGCCTGCACTGGAGCCATACTGAGGTTTCATAAAACTGCAGACCATCACTGGTTCTGCACGAATACCATCAGTCCTAGATTTAGCCCAACTACATGACTTCTCGGTGCATGTTTGTGGACGAATAAACTGCTTGGCACCCATTTTGATGGTGTGATCTACATAATAAAGTAGGCCGAACACATGGTTACAGTAACCAGCCTTGCCAGCCACACAGGAATACGATGCACGATTTACAGTACCTGACTGTCCCACAACAACATATACAGAGTGCGGAGATTCATTTTTTTTCATTGAGCGGTAACATTTGGCATGGACGAAAGTTTCCTCCTTGTGTTTCACACACTTCACTGCATGGATGTACTCCTCAAAAAAAAATCTATAGCCTCTGTCCATAGGTTTCTCCACCGATTTTCCACCTGGCATTAATTTTCCAGTATCTTTGGCATGATTCATGATGTTTACATATGTAAACGCCTTCGGAAGATCTTTGGTTTCCGATGTCCAACCATCTTTAGGTAACATCTTTAGCTAACATCCTCCTCCACCAGCTTCTCCCATCCTCCTGCTCCACTGTAACGACGAATATGACGTTACCCGTTTAAATGTAGATCGGTTGTAGCGATGAATATTTAAACTCCAAACTCCAAGCAGTAGTGTTCAGCAAAATAGTATATTGTTTCTCAAACCACATATGCTCGCACAGAGGCACGCCGACGCGTGCCTCGCGCACTCCCGTCCGATCTCCCTCACAACCAAGCACCTTCCCTCTTATACATTTCTAGATAACAAAGCACGTCGCGCGCGTCCGGACAACCGGCATGTGCTACCCACATGTACAACAAGTCCCTCTCAACCGTTTCGCATCGCGCGCCGACCAACACATTATGCAACCGCAGTCACTCCATTTCCAAACACTCAACTACTATTTGTGACATCTGCAACCCATACTTTACACCACCACCTTCTCCCTTCTCCCCTTCCTCCTTCTCCACCAGCTTCTCCCCCTCCACCACCTTCTCCCTTCTCCTCCTGCTACACCAGCTTCCTTCTTCCCTTCCTTATCCCCTTCTCCCTTCTCCTCCATGAGCCATATTGAGTCGGGCCACACGGCCGCCGTGCGTATAGCCATATTGAATCTTATCCACACGGCCGCCGTGCGTATAGTCACTTCCGTTGGAAACAGCTGTAACATGGCTGACTGATATGACTTGCTGGTCATATAGGCATGACATTGCGAATAAAATTCAGTAATATTAGCGTTAATTGTAATTGTAGTAATATAAGCGTTATTAAAATGTCCCA